GTTTTTTGTCGTCAAAGCAGGTTTCTGCATCATTTTGTCAAAAAACATGCGATGCATGCAAGCATCCAAATATGGTATCAGCGCGACTAGAAGAACTTAATAGAGTCCCGAGATTTGACAAGAAGGATGGACTTGCTCCAGTATTTATTAAAAGGTAATTTTCACCACTGACAGTGTCGAAATGTTGCGATATGCAAATGCAAATTTCTTTATTGGCCAAATACAGAATGTAAAACAAATTAAGAAGTACTAAATAGTCAAGTTTTAAGTAATTTTATGTACTTTGGCAGTTTGGCTTTGAGTAGGATTAAGAAAATGGTCAATGTATTGTTCTATGCCTCTAAAGTCTAATCTGGACTAATTTTCCAAGGTTGAAGCAGAATAGCAGATTTTGTTAGCCCACATTGAATGCAAGTTCATACTGTTTACTGTTTAATCTCTGGGACTAGGTTACTTGTTGGTAATGTAAACTAGGTGACACTCTCCTAACCTGTTCTTTATTTTTTTTCCCCCATCAGGGCGTATGTTGCGTTTGTGCAGCTTTATAAAATTGTGAATATTATTAATCTATACTAATTATAATTACTTTTCTTCCAACTCATGTCATTGAATGTGAACATTTTCTTTTATATATTCAAATTTGGTTTGTGACAAATCCTTTTCAATTTTGATCTCCTAGTATCATATCTTATTTTTGTATAATATTTGTTGGCCTTTTGGGTCCATCATGCAGCAGTCACAGGAAAAAAAGAAAAAAAAAGAAAAAGACTGCAGTCTGCCACTGACGGAAAAAAAAGACCTTCTCAACTTTATAGGCATAAAAGGAAAAATAATGTTATATGAGAGAAATCTTAATATGAACTTCTGCACTGTGTTACTTTTCTGCAGCGCATCGGTTGCCTCTTACGATGGCTTGGACTGCGAATTTTGGAATCGAGACGATGAGGCAAGTGATTCCGATGAAGATATATCAAGTACTGATGGTAATGTTCCCTTTGTAATCCTGAAGTTTGGCAAAGTAGTTATTTTTTTTTCATGTCTCAACTTTGGAGATAGAAATATTTGTTGAGGTGAGTTCATCCGGACATTCTTAAATCTTTAATAACGAAGCTTTTGTTGTACTGTTTAGTACTGTGACTACTGTCTGTGAAGCATAATAACTCTCCTGATATCTTCAAAGCTATATATCGGAAAATTATATACCATAGAGACCTTAATTTGTTTACTTCTTCTAGCTGTACATGAATTTTGGAGATCATGTAGAATTTGTTCTTAATTACGGAAAGGCTGGAACAAAAGCATCACTGGTTACTTAGAACGATGAGCGAGACCCTAACAATTTCCATTTGGTGTAGCTGAGTTACTTAAAGTTGAATATGAAGAAGAGTACTTTCCCTCATGGTTACATGTACTCATCGTTGACAACTTCGGTTATCTTATTTAATGATGTAAAATACTAGAGATTCCAAATATTATCATGCATTCAAACATTTTGAATTGTCATTATAATGTTGCATATGCATTCTATTTGGATCTTTATTGACTGGCGTCATAACCTTTTCCAAACAAAAGTCATCAGCCAACATTTAATCCAGGACCTCATATGATCCAACCCATCAATTTGTCATTGTCAGACCTCCGTGGCAAGTGACTAGGTGAGCAAACACTTGCATGCATATAATAGAAAATGTTCTTATAGCATTTTGCTTATTTTAGAATTAGTTCCTGAATTGTAATGGTGATTATTTCTTGAAGTGCAAGTATTCCCTCTATCAGTTGGTTAGCAGCGCAACATTGCTATTTTCCTTGGGGTGAACCATTATATGAATGCTCATATTTTCCGTTCATTTATTCTCTTGGTTTTTTTGAGTTCTTTGAAGTGATACCGTTTCTTTATGAGACAGATGAAGCAGATGCAATAAACAGTCTGGCTAGATCAAAATTGTCATCTAAAGCAGGATTTGATGAGAAATTTGAAGCTTTGCAGCAAGCAGAGGAGGCTTATTATCAAGATCAACTCCCGAAGAAGGTCAGTTGAGTTGTTTGTTTTCCTTTAGTAGGTTGAGAGCTACTAAAAACTTTTGGAAACTTAGTTACCAGCAACATATGCTGCTGATCTTTCTAGTAAAATATGGGTATATCAACGGTAAATTTTGTAAATGAAATGACAGAGCAAAGGCCTTTCTGACAAGAAAATCATATCTGACACATTAAGAGAAGCAAGCAAGAAGAGGTTGTTGACTGCTCTGAATCAGGCCCAAGAACGGCTTGGAGAACAACTGTAAGTATATTGTCCTTCTGTTTCACCTTAAGAGAGAAATCTTTCAAAACTTCATGTTAATGTAGCAGAAAGCTTTAGCTCATAGTAAAATTAATTTAATATTGTGATAGGGTTTTTTGGTTATTTTTGTGCAAAAAATCTGAAAGTTACTCCCTAGGGTGTACTAGAAGAGCTTTCACAGTTACAAGTATGTGATTTAGAACAATTTCATCTCAATTACTTGTTGAACTTTTAAGAAGCTCCTGCAGCTTAAAACATTACATTTTTTTCACCAGCATATATTGATAATGTGCATTTAAAGGATGGCTATATGGTAAAGTCTGATCATGATCATCTGAACCTTTCTCATCACTATGCCATTCAACTTTTTCATTAAAGCTTGTCTGATGTGCTTAGCAATATTATTGTATTTTCTATAACAACTCTCACCAATTATTACCCTGCAACGAAGTGTTTGCAGATGCTCACTTCGTCTGTTTTTGCCTATTTTTCTGGGATAAATTTCACAAAACTACCATGAACTTTTAAATTTTTTGCACAAAAATATCATAAACTATTCTAGCGATTTTGTCTGAAAAACCATTGTGTTTTACTGACTTTATTCAAGGATTTATTTTATTTTATTTTATTTTTGTTAATAATTTGTGGTGTTTTCTGCTGATCTAAAAGTTTCTGATATTTTTGTGCAGAACGGCTACTAGTACATGGTAGTTTTATTAAATTTACCCTTTTTATCTATTTTTCTTGGTAAACGCTACATTGATTTATCGTATTTGACATTTCTCTCCAGGCCTAATATCGAGACATCCAGTACCTTCCTGGAAACAGAATGCTTCAAGCGATACGAGAAAGTTGGCAAAACATTCTACAACTCTCAGGTTGCTGCCACACTTAGGTGGCTATCTTCTTCAAATTATGAGCAAATATGTGACCGGCTTAATGCCAACACTTCTCCAGATATTGCCAAGAACATCGAGAACATTCATACAAATGCAATAATCTCGTCACCCCCAGAAAAACCTTCTTATTCTGAAGTTCCAGAATCAGAAATAAACAGGGAAAGAAACACTGACAATGTTGGAGTATCTGGGCTTTGTGATTCACTCCAGATGGAAACTCCAACATATAAGATAGAGCTTCCTCCTATCCCATCTTTCTCAGAATTTGCCAAGAAAAATGTGAAAGCCAGTGAAGGAGATAGTTCAAATTCCTCTAGTGCAGTTCAGAAGAGAACCATGGAGCCTGAAAAGCACGGAAGAAGCAACCCAGAAAAGATGAGGCGGAGATGATCTTTAGAATTGGAAGCGAATTCTAAATCTACCACCATAAATGAATCGGAAGTGATCTTAGATGTACAAATAACTGGGAATTTTTGCTGAATACATTTGAATATATTTTGAGCTCTTGTTTC